GGAGAGAGAGAGGGCGCCGAGAGAAGGAGAGAGAGAGTGCTAGAAAATGGGGGTTTGATAATTTTAGGGTTGGGGTGGGTTTATATAATTTAATTTTCATAATATTTTTATTAATATTTAATTAAATATAAAAAATCTGTATCTATATATTTAAATATCTGATTTTTGAAACTTTAAACACCAAATCTGATTTTAGAACTTGAATCTCCAAATGTAGGGGTAGGTGTAATTTCCACTTGAATCTAATACCATGTGAATCTTATTTAGCCCATGTTTGGTAAAGATTAAAAATAGATTTTTAACATATTTTGATATATAAAATTTGATTGAATGTATAGTTGAATAATTATAGTTCCTATGAAATGTGTGGTTAAAATTAATTGTTAACTTTGATTTAGATTTTAATAAGATTTTTTAGCGTTAGAAATGGGGGCTTAAAACTTGAAATTGTTAGATATAGTCAAATAAATAACCACTTTTGTTGCCTACAAAATAGATGAGTATAAAATGAAAGAAGAAAATTTATTTAATAATGCAAGTTTGATGATTTTTTTTAGCATAAGAGAGAACTGGGCGGTTCGATTCTGCTACTGCGCATGGAACTATTTGGTTCCATTAGTTGAATTTCTTTTGATATTCTGTTTGTTTCAATTCTACTCTTATCAATACTCGGCCGCGGTCACTCCTATTAGTTAAGAAGAAAATACATATATTTACGTACATCTTATCTTTAACTACCTCAACCTCAACCTACTTCAATTCTACTCTTATCAATACTCGGCCGCGGTCACTCCTATTAGTTAAGAAGAAAATACATATATTTACGTACATCTTTTCTTTAACTTCCTCAACCTCTACCTACACAAACTAAGGTGGTTTTGCAAGGATCTTATTGAAGCAATAGGTTAGACAAAGGCCTTGAGTTTCAATGGGATTTGATACTAGCCACAAGATTGTAATTCTTTATGGCCTTTCGATTCGAAGAAAATTTGTGTTGAAGTTCAAAATTTGAGATAACTTGTTCTATTACAAATTTGCTAGTTAGTGTAATACTAGACAATATACATTATAGTTTTCAATCAGTCCGACCATACACTTTTAAGACAAATTTATTCCTTCTACTTTTTGTAGAATTACTAAAGTATTTGTTTGGCACAACTTATTTGAAAACTATTTTTTTTTAATTCATTTTTAACAATACATCAATGAAATAATTTTATATATGAATCCATAAATTTTTTCTACTTTTTTAACCACATATTCTCCAAACAAATCATATTTCACTTTTAATAATATCCCCCCAAACAAACACTAAGAATAGAGACTTGCATGTTTGGCTAAGCTTTGAAGGTTAATTTTCATAAATTTTGAAAAAAAAAAGTAACTTTTAAGGATACTTTATAAATATTACTTCTAAGAAAAGAAAAGTAACTTTAACCTTAGTCATTACATACACTTAATTGGATACTGATTAGACATAGATAAGTTGAAAAAGAAAAATAGATACTTTCTAGCTTATTTGGATGAAGTTAAAGGGGTAATTTCTCCTAGAGTCCCCAAACTTATCAGTTGGTGTAGAATTGTCTCCAATCTAACAATCCGAGTAAAATAATATTCGACGTACTAAAATAGGTTCTACTGTAGTCCTGATAGGTGAAATAGTTAAACTTTTCGATTAAATTAAAACGTATATATCATGGGAGACACTATTGAAGGGTAAAAATGTTAAAAATCTTATTCATTTTACTGTTATCAATCTTGCCCTTTGAATATAACATGATTTGAATGATTAAATTATTTGATCCCATCGTGCCCTATGTTTTGTAACGAGGACATGATAGCTACTCCACACTATTATTTTTTAGTTTAGTTTTTACAATTTAAATTGTATTTAAAAAAGTTAAAAGTATATATGAATAAATAAATTGGATCGTAAACAAGGATTTTTTAAATTTTTGTCTTGTCCAGTTCCCCGAACTTTCGAAAATATCCAATGGGGGTGGGAACAGGAAGGGCAGTCCAAATTCACCATTCCAAACTTGATAAGTTTCGAAAGCAATCAAAACTTGGTATTTAAAACATCATATTCTGTTGTCATCCTTAACATGAGACGTAGCGAAAGCAATCAAAAATTTAAACTTTACTGCAAAAATATTCTTGAAATCCTAAGAATATATCCAGGAAATTCAAACTCTATTCATTTTCTTCTTCTTTTTTGTTTGAAAAATTTAAAATTAAACCTGAAATTCTGAATCCTGCTGTGGCTAAGGACAGTTGGAGAGTTAAAACTCAAAAGGGGTTCAACCTTTGACTTCTTTTCTTTCTTGTAATGCGTGTACTTTAAATACATTGAATAAATATCAAAACAAAAAGGACAA